TCTCTGCTGACTCCTCTCACCCGCACCTCTGGCCTACACCACAGTTCTTGTATGCATAAATTTTAAAAATTAAATAAATCTATTAAAAAAATAAGATGGGACCAGTAACCCCCAGAAACAGGAAGGCAAAGACGGTATCACTACAGATGCAAGTACGTAGGTAGGGATGGGAGTCTTTAGACCTTCTCCTTAGGTTGCTCCATTTTTCTCAGTAAGACAGGAAACAAGGTAATCATCTGAAAGGGTGGATTGTGGAGGCGGGATTGACTATTTGCAGAGGGGAGTGTATAACATTATTGTGCTAGCAGAGAGACACTTACTGGATTAGGGGCATTGTAGGATTCCAGGACAGCGTTATGGGCCTCTGGAGTCAGAGAATATGAATTTAAAGTGAGATCAATCAGAATGGTTACATGTCTTGCTCCTACTCTGTCCAGGTACTGGAGAGATGGTAAGAGTGGACGAAGAATTGGACATAACTAATATTCTAATTTAGCTAAGAAATTGCAATGAAACAAGAGAATCAGAAGGAAGTTAAGAATGTTTACGGAAGTGGTTATGATGACGAATTATGAAACTTAATTTGGACAAGGTGGGTGGTGAAGAACAAAGAGATGAGAAAGTGGAAAGATGGTAGAATCCAGGGTTGCGTTTGGTTTAGTGGGTGTGGGATTATTGCAATTTCGGTACTAGGGGAAGTAGAAATAGAGAAGGTGGTTGTGAAAGTGGAATGTTTGAAACTTAGATTTAGGATAATGTTTAGTTACTTGTAAGGAAAAGATCAAGGGCATGACTATGCAAGTGAGCAGTGGGTGGAGGGTGGATTCTGGTATGATCATCTTCATGAATATTAAAATCAATGAGCACCAAGCCAGGAAGAGTGCTCAAGAGTGACAGTGAGAGAAAGTATGTGGGGGAGCAGTTATGACCGGGGTGCGTGATGGTGCTAGTAGGTGTTGGCATGAGATTCAAAGTTGGGTGGTTTTATGGAAGAAAGAAAAAAAAAAAAACTGTACTGCAAGCAACAAAAAGGAGCAAAGAAGAATTTCTTTTTTTTTTTTTATATATATAGACGCATGTTTTTACTTATTTATTTATTTATTTGTTTGTTCTGTTTACACATGCACTGGGTACAGTCAGAAGCGCGGGAGGGTGAGAGAATTCACCAGAGCCAGAGCGGGGAGCAGAGCAGGCAGAAGGACCGAAGGACACTGCTGAGGGGAGCAGCGGGCGGCAGGAGAGGTCTGCGCGCCATGTGGGACCCTCCTCTGGTGGCCGGGGAGCAGCCGGGGATCGAACCGGCGCCGCAGAGGCTGCGGGCAGCTTCGCAACCCAGCGCTCAACCGCTGCGCCACCGGGGAGGCCTGCAAAGAAGAATTTCAAGGCACAGGCAGCCTCAGAAAAAAGGTAGGCTTACCTTAAGCAAGAAGGTAAAGAAAATATTCACAGGAGAGGCTGAGGATGCAGAGGATTTTGCAAATGATAGACCTGGAACGAACAGACACAGGAAAAACACCATAGAATATGGGGAGGAATAGGAACTGGGGTTCAGAAAGGTGAGGCACCAAGTTTAAGCACATGAGCATGGAAATGAAAGACGACTAGGAAGTCTGGTGATAAGGGCACAGTCAGCTGGTCCGAATGCCCGAAGGCAGGTAGGGCAGAGAAGCAGTGCTGAGGGCAGGGGAGGTTGGTAGGTGGTGGTCTTGCCAGGCGGGCAGAGTATGAGGACCCTGGGACTCCTTGTGATGGCTGCACGGACCCTCCCAAGGGCCAAGTCTTAGGTGCACGCTGTGTCTTTCTCCTTCCCCGGGTGGCCTGGAGAGGCGCCTCCACAGCTCAAGCAACCCCTGACTTCTACTGTAGGAAGCTTCAGGGAGGGGAAGGAAATGCCCTCCCCTCATGAATTCATCATCCACATTCTTGAATGGTACTTTGAGCCTTGTTTCTTATTCAAGTGAGCAAATTACTAAAGCACCAATGGGAAAAAAAATCTTTGGATCAGAAATAAATAAGTCTGATGACTCAATAGCAGGAGGTACTGCAAAAAGGCTCCGCTGACTGCTGTCTGAGAGAAGTCAGGCCCAGAATATATATCCCAAATTAAAATATCTCCCCAACTGCCAATCTCCACATCTGAAATGTCATCGTTAGAGAACCATAGAATTTCAAGTCTGAGAATTTAAGCGAAAGGCATCACACTGGAGCAGAGTGAGTGCAGAGCGCAGCTGCCCCTGGCCTTGCCAGTCATGTCAGTAGCCTTGCACTTAGCCCCTGACCCACCCTAGAACATTCAAATACCGCAGTGAGGACCTGTTTCTGTTGGGTGGAGATCCTTGTGTCAGGTTCTCCTTTCTGCTTAGGGCTGGTGTGGAAAGAGACACACTGTTGGCTTTGGATTCTGGGAGTCACTTAACAGCATGAAACATAAAATTGGGGCCTCCCTGCTGGCTCAGGGGATATGAAGAAATCCGCAGGCACTGCAGCAAGAGTTTGATTCCCGGCCGGCCAGAGAGAAACCCACACGGTGGGACAGACCTCTCCTGTCTCGCCCACTGCTCCCCTCAGCAGTGTACCTCAGTCCATCTGTCTGTTCTGCTCCCCGCTTTGTCTCTGGTGAATCCTCTCACCCCCGCATCTCTAGCCTGTACCCCAATTCTTGTATAAAAATAAATAAATCTTAAAAAAAAAACATAAAATTGAAGTGATTATACATTGGAGGGAAGGTATATGTAGACTTCTGTGAAGCTTGATCCCAGGCCAGGGAGCTGACCCACATGGCACAGCAGACCTCGCCTGTCTTGCCCACTGCTCCCCTCAGCAGTGTATTTGAGGGTCACCTGTTCTGCTCCTTACTCTGTCTCTGGTGAATCCTCTCACCCCCGCACCTCTGGCCAGTACCCCAGTTCTTATATGCATAAATAATATATATATATATGTATGTGTGTGTATGTATGTATGTAAATCATACATAATACATGTATATGTATGTATGTATGTATGTCTCATATATATGTATGCGTATATGTCCCTAGAGGCTCAGCCACACAAATACCCTGGATCCCCCCATAGTCTTAACACATAGTACTGCCCTATAAGGTAAAAAGTCTCTGTCTTGAAAGTATTTGAGTAAAGACCATGGATTAGAAACACTATAAAGATCACTCCTGGGGCCTCCCCGGTGGCACAAGGGGTTAAGCACCACACTATGGAGCAATCCGCAGACTCTGCAGCATGAGTTCTATGCCTGGCCAGGGAGCAACCCACATGGTGCAGGAGACCTCTCCTGACTCGCCCGCTGCTCCCCTCAGCAGTGTATTTCAGTCAGTCTGCCAGTTCTGTTCCCCACTCTGTCTCCGGTGAATCCTCTCATCCCCCACCCCATGTCTCTGGCCTGTACCCCAGCTCTTGTATGCATAAATAAATATTTTTTAAAAAATCACTCCTAAGTTCTCCTCTAAGTACAGATTCTAAATTCCATGAAATTATAGCATAATTGGACAAAAAGTCTGGATCAAGTTATAAAGTAGGAAGAATTTCAGTGTTTTCCCCAAGGTAGGCAGAACTTCTCATTGCCTTTGGACTATTTGAGGATCGCGCCCCCCCTCACTGCACTCCCCCCCACCCCCACACACACACATGTCCTCCCTTGGAAGCGCCCATCCTGAGAACTCATGAGCCTCTTGCCTCCCCACCACCTCCCGTCCCCACGCCTCAGCTGACAGATTGTGCCCCCAGACGCAGTGTGGTTGGCTGGTTAAGAACACAGATGTTGGCAACGCATAATGCTGAGGGACATTGGGAAAATTACTTAACCTTTCTGATTTTTTGCTTTTTCTGTTGTAAAAGAGCAATAACAAGAGGTCCTTGGCAATGGTATAGGGCAGATGAAATGAGGTGTGGTATTTAGCACAAAGCTTGTGCACAGTAAGTGTTCAGTAAATAATACCCATTGCTGTTTCTTGTGTTGTGTGACCTTGTCACTTTATTGCTGTCTCTATTTTCTTGCCGCTATTGTTTTTGCTGTTGTTGCTCCCCTGTTAATCTCTTAGGAGGCTGATATCAGCCCCCTCCTGATGTGAGGCACGTGGACGGTGCCGCACCCACCGGGTGTTCTCACTCACACAAGGACCAAAGACCGGGCAGCTGGTCTCTTCCCACTGCACCTGTGCCCATTTGCTTACCTGACAGTCAGTTTGGGGGCCCTTTGACCACTCCCAAATAATGCAAATGAGGCAGCAGCCATCTTCTGGGGACCAGGTGACCTAGAAATGAGTGGGTAGCTTCAGAGTCTGTAGTCATTCTGACTGCCCTGAACACTGCATTTTTTTTTTTTACTTCTCCATGCTGATTGTGGGTATGGAAGACTTAAATGTTTTTATTTGCACAAATCAAAAGTAAAGGAAAAATGTGACCTCAAAATACTCCTCCATAAAACATGGATGAGTGTAGGGTAAGGAAAAATGTCAGGCTTTTCTGCCCTCCTGCCATCATGGTAGATGATGGATCCTTGTGGTCCTGCACTGTGGTCCATTCCTGACCTCACAATGAGAAACACCATAGTCAAATGTTACATGGTGGACTGTTAGAGGATAGTGCATTCAAATATTTAAAGCCCATTCCTTACCTGGGTTAGCGAGGAAAGTCGTCATTTTCTCTTTTCGCTCCATGTTGCTTGCTCCATTGCCTTTGTTTCTGGTTTTCCAGAATGAAGAGTCCACAGTTGTCCAGAAATAACATTTATTAATCAACAATAAAACACACAATGGAAAAGACCTTATAAAAAAACTATATATTTATAATGCTTTATTATGTTTTGTTCCAGTACTCCACAAAACACTACAGACAGTAACAAAATAATTCAATAAATATTAAAAACTTTCAAGAGAATTTTAAGACACTCTTTATCATATGTGAGCATCAACAATGCCACAACCATTGATACACTATTAAACACTATCATAGATATCTTTTCTTGAATAAGGGATATGATTAATTTGTTTATCCACAAGTCATAACATTTACACATACCCATACACAAGAGAATAGCTCAGAGTAAGTGAAGCAGCCACCCCAGTGAAATGGAATCATCTGCCTGTACATCGTTTAAAGATATTATGGTGTTAACAGGATAGAGGTCAACACACTAAAGAGAAACATTGGGGTTTTGCTTGGGGTGGGAGAAAGTAGGGCAATCAATGAAAGCTGCTTACATATTTTCCATTGCTCGCTTAGCAATATGCTCCTTCCCTTTTCTGCCTTTTCTTGGTTGAGGTATTCCAGCACTTTTAGTAACAGGTCTTCATCCAGGTAACGTCTGTTTGGAGAATCGTCATTCTTTGGGGTCCCCACAGGGAACCTTTTGCTCACCGAGGCTAGCTGGTCAGTCTCGTGAGAGATGCCTTGATTCACATGCTCTTTAACAGCCTGCTCGAGCTGGTCCTCTTCCTGCAGGTCATCTTCAGATGAGCCTTGACTAGGAACTCGCTTCACCTGGTTTGAAGCCATGATCTCAGGGTATTTAACTAGCATCCTGGCCAGGTACTCGCCTAAATCTTGATCTTTATCATTCAGGTTTTCATACGCCAGTTGTCTGTTGTCCACATCTGGCATCCAGGCAGTTTTGGGAAGCTGGTTTGCTCTAGATCTTCCGAGACCATAGGGGAGTCTTGGCAGAACCTTCTCCCGATTATACTGATTGGGGAAATATGAAGGCTTTTGATTCGCTGTGCCCTCCATCCCTAAAAGACTTAAAATGTCCTCGACACTGAGTCCATCTGGTAGGGCATCTGTCGTAGCCCGGCCAGGGGCTTTGGGGTAGCCACTCTTGGAGACCATCTTGTTCTGGAACAGGTCAGCGCGGTCTAAGTCAATCTCTGGGATGTCATCTAGGTCAACAGGAAGTTCAAGCTCCTGCTCTGGTTCCACTGACCCATTTGGCTTCTCTCCATTTTTGAGCATGTCAATTAAGTCTTCAGGGGGTATCTGTAAATTCCTTGAGATTTCAATCAGCTGATAAATAGACTGAGAATCAAGTGGCTTCTCAAAAAGCCGGGCTGCTCTGTCCCCGTTTTGTGACCTCCCATTCCCTGCGACATTCACTAACCTTTTCAGATAGGCCATCACTTTGGAGATGTCATCCGAGAGCTGGTCTTTACTCTCCCTGGGGAGATCTTCATCCTGGAGACCCAGGGGCCCGGAGCGCTTCATCTCATCATTGATTTGCTCAGTCTTTTCCGTATTCTCCTTACTGTCTCTCACCTCTTCCTGAGTTTGGCTCTCTATTTTCTCCTCCACCGGGTTCCAATCTTCTCCCCCAACCACATCTTCATAGGCAATGTTATTGGCCTTGTAGATGTCATCTTCATCATCTGCATAAAGTTTTTGCTCCTC